AGAGATAATACAAGGAGGTTAGGAGATGGGGACACTGGGGCCACCTTGAAGGCTCTATACCAAAAGCACATCCTGCAGATCTCCCTGCATTCTCTAGGCTTCTCAACATCCTTTTAATACCCCTTTTTTTTTTTTTTTTTTTTTTTTTTTGCTTAAGCTAACCAGAAATTGATGTCTTTTGTTTGCATCCAGAATTCCATATTTGTTTTGTCACCTTGTGATTCTGGCTTATGTTGATTTAATTTCTTTTTCTGTGTGGTATAAACTAGTTGGTAAAGTTATTGCTCATTACTTTCTTTTCTCTCTCAAAGTTATCAATTGTTTGAATATTTCACACCCCAGAGCCAGCTAACCAGCTTCCATCAGAAAATGTGTTTAATATTAATCTTCATGAAGATCATAGAAGAGAAGTTAAGAACAAAGAATCAGCCCTCCCAAAATAGGAAAACTAAGTCTTGTGAAGGGGATACTTTACCAAATCCTCAGATTATCCCACAAGTTTGTGTTTTATTGTCTTCTGGGCCATGACCAGATGGTTGCTTTCCTCCCAAAATTCTGCAGAATTTAAGCATCAAAATGCCAACTGATTTAAGCAGAAAGGGTAAGTTTGTTGACTTTGATAGCTCAGAAAAATACTAGGGAGGCTCACAAGACCAAGAGACTACAGATGTCCAGGGCCTGGAACATAGGAAGTTCTCCCTTCACCTCAGGGACATCTCCCTCATCTTCATGTTTTACCTTCTTGGTCTCATTCCTTGCTTTTTTTTTTTTTTCTATAGTACTGGAGATTGAGCCCAAAGCCTTACACTGAACTGTCTCCATTGCCTCTTTTATTTTTAAATTTTGAAGCAGGATCTTATTAAGCTTGGAACTCCTATCCTCTGGCCTCAGTCTGCTGAGTAGCTGGGATTGAAGGCAGAGCTGCCACACCTGGCTGGGCTTCATTCTTTACTATTGCAATCAGACTGTCTTATCTTGGTGATATGTAGCCTTTAGTTAACCCCATGTTGGGCTTTCAGCCAGAAGGAATAGGAAGTTTTGAGTCAGGAGTTTATTCTCAAAGTTAGGAAGGTGAGGTCTGACACTAGGCCAGACTTGTTGGCATGAGGGCCATAGAAAACCTTCAGCAACCACTGCCCAGCGCAGGCTCTGATTTAAGCTCTTTGTCAGTGCCTGGACAAGGACAGGCCAGCTATGCAAATGGTCCATAAATTTTGCAGATTCGCAGACCAGGATGATGCTACAGTCTGTAGTAAGGACCTCCTGGGGGGAAATGAGGATTGGAGTGGTCTTTGTTTGGCCAATGTTTTTTGTGGAGTCTTGGAATTACTTTTATTACATCCAAGGTCCAGTATCTTAGGCTACTGACAAAAAAATATCAAGTTAAATTTTTTCATTCTAGATTTTACTAGTTCCCTAACTATTTGGCAGATTAAAAAAATGGTCAGTGGAGATGTGAAGGCCAGTAATGACATAGGAAATAACTGTCCACTTCATGGACTCATGACCAATGTTAAGTTATAGTAACAAAGGAGATCTGAGCTTTTTATTTGCTACACTTTCTATGATTTGTGGCCAGATTTTTTTTTTTAACCTCTTGAGTAAAGAATGGTTTGTCAAGTTCATGAAAATCATGGCTAATCAGGGGCCAGTTAATTTTAGAACGAACACCAAATTGTTTAGAGCTAACATTGATTATAGGAAATGGAGAAGGGGACGTTGCCAGAACCTCTGCCATAGGTCCTAGCCTCCTGTGAGCCACTATAGCACAAGGCAAAAGAATAAAGACAGGAAACTAGACTTAGAATGAAGCTGAGTTTTGGAGCATGATCAGTGCTGCTGATGGCAGCAAAGACAAAGGCCCCCAAGTACCTCCAGTATTTATTAAATACAATCATGGGAAGGAATAGGGATCTGGGTATGTTTTGAGGGCATCTAGTGAAATATGGCTGAACACTTGGCATGATGACACCCGACAGGGGTGTTAGGGAATAAGCACTACTTATCTTGCTTGGATAGAACAAACAGGTACTGGGACTAGGTGCAATTGGCAAACAACCCATCAGGCCAGCAAGAAGCCATAATTCAGAGGAAAGGATTTTAATAGGGGTCACCCTGACCTCAGCTGTACATAATGTGGCAGAGGCCTGCCACTTTACAGACCAGGGCCTAAGTTTCTGTGGCAGCCACTGGGGGAGGGACTATATTCACCCAGTCTTCCATCTGACATGCCCATTTGAGTCACATAGAGCTTTGGTCTGACTCCTGATGTAAAATAATATAGCCAAATTAGGGAAGGCAAGAAGCAGGTGCCATTCATAGCCTATTAGTGCTGTCTGTTACAATTGATTGCTACTAGAACCATGTAAATATAGAGAACAAGAGCAGCTAGACACTTAACTTTTGGAAGTTGTACAAGTAATATTGTGCTCCTTTTGAATATGTACACTGACATGAAGTTACCAAATTATTTTTCCTCAGAAGTGCTACAGTGGGCTCCCTACATATTTATCCTGTTCTGGGATGGTTCACAGCTGATCTTGTTACTGGACTGGGGGTCTTGTCCAGGTTCTTGATGTCCTAAACAAAGAATTAAGTGGGGCTTCCAAGAGTAGGAGCAGAATCAATGATTTATTTGACAGAGGAAAAACATGGTATCCTCCACACTCTGTGGGAGTGGCCTGGTGAGCAGAGTTCACAGCCTGAGGAGGCTTGGTGCTGAGAGTTTTACACCTTAGGGTTCTCTGAATAAGACTGAAGGTTTGGTCTGAGTTATGACTCTTGCCAATGAGCAGCTTGACTTGACCCCTCCATCACACAATGGAGTTTTTGTTGTTGTTGTTGTTGTTGTTGTTGTTGTTGTTGTTGTTTTTACTTTTTATGGTCCTTGGAGAAACTGTCATCACCCAAGCTGAAAAATTCTACTGAACTCTTTTTGTCAGTAGGCTAAGACATTGCTTCTCAGAAGCAATAAAAGTAATTGTCCAAAGCCCCAGGGGAGGGTGGTGGTGTGTGTCAAATCTACATAGTCAATGCCATGGTAATTAGGGTTAGGGTCAACCAAGGGTTGCAGAAGACCACCAGAAGCATGCCCAGGGACCTATTGTATATAAAATAAGTTAGCTGGTTATAGCTGGTGTAGACCAGAGCATCCTGATCCCAGGCTAATGTTTAACTCAGATGGGATCCAGTTCCAGAAAGGCGAAAAATTCCTTTTTTTCAAGCCTTTTTCCTAGCCACCTTCTGCCTCATTCTGGTGGTGTGTTCATAGCCCAATGCTTGCTCTTAGGTAATTCTTTATGAAAGGCCCTGCATGTGCTAAGTGTAAGTGTAGCAACTGTGTCAGCCCACCTTCTACCTTTTGTGGCTCCTTCTCTGTCTTAGTCACTTTCCTTTCACTGGGACAAAATACCAAACACCCACAAGTTAAAGGAGGAGAGGTTTATTTGGCTCATATTTCCAATGTGTTCAGTCCAAGATCACTTTGCTTCAGGACAGAAACAACATGGCAGAGGGGGATGGCGAAAGAAAGCTGTTCAACCCATGGCAGCCAGAGGCAGAGAGGGAAGGGAGGAGCCAAGGTTAAAATTACACTCTTCCAGGTCACACATACAGTGACCCCCCCTCGCAGGTTCAGCTATGAGGTCATCGATGGATGAATAGACTGATGAATAGAGTACCCCCACGATCCACTCACCTTCCACACACATGAGACTTTTGGAAGTGCATTTTAGATTTAAGCCATAATGCCCTCCATATAAGAAAGCAGCTCACTTTTACATTTGGATTGGGATCCAGTATTTAAGATGACAGTAGGGTGTAGGGGAGTGAAGATAACATTTACCTGATGGCTCCCAGAGAGGCAGAGAGGAATATATGTTAGGAACTCTGTTCTTGGTTCAGGCAGACTTGGGATCAACTCTCAGCAAACGTACTTTGCAGCTTTGTGACACTAGGGAATTCGCTCCCTTCTAAAATGGGGCTAATAATCATACCAAACACGCAGGTTTTTTGATGTGCTTAATATGGTGCTCTAAATAAACTGCTGGGCATTATGTGGGCACATGGCTTTTAAAATCTCAACAATCATCACTTTGGGGTTCCTAAATTGTCTCTTTCTCCGGTGAATGTATAGCCTCTCCCAAGCCTTCAGGGAAAGAGCAAATCACCACACCCTCACCACCACCGTCAGCAGTCGCAGTGGTGGGGTCTCTGGGCAGAGGAGTGGGGACAAGGCTGACTTGGGGTTCATCGCAGTGTTTATCAATCATCCTCTGGGAGGTTCTGCTCCTCAACTGTGAAATGAGAGCCCTTGTACCTATGGCAAGAATTAGAGATGGTGCTGTACTTAAGTATGTGGCAGCCGAGAAGCCCCACCCTAGGCTGGCTTTGAACATTTCCCCTGCTGGCCACCTTCCCATCTCAGGTCCCTGTGACGATGTCTGAGACAGTCTCTGGAGACAAAGCTCGCTGACTGTGCAGCCCAGGTGTTCCTCATTTTCACTGACCTGAGTCAGACTTCATTGCTCTTAAGCCTAGCCCAGTTTCCTGCAGTTCAAGGCCCATGGAGCCATGATCGTGGGTGTTGCTACTTAGAAATATGCTCTTTGCATAACACTGGCCCTGCCATGGGTACCACCCCAGAGGCAGCTCAGTGATCAGCCTTACTCTCAGAGAACAGAGTGGACCAGGAGGCTCGAATGGCACCGTTCTCCTCAGGCTGCTGCAAGGCCAGCAAGAAAACGAGCAAATAAAAGACTTTTTAATGCAGTGGAAATGATATTTAAAGACTCCTGGCATTAGGTCAGAGTTTCTAGAAGCAAGTTCTCTCTGCATCTGCCCCATACTGGAAAGCTACCGATCAATAAAGACTATCTTCTCATGCTGTAGATTCCTCCCCACATCATTTCATGTGGGTCCCCATTCAAGAGAGGAAAAAGCATGGGGAAGTTGAAAGGCTTGGTGACAAATGCTGACACTGTCCCTGTTGTGTCTTGCAGCCTACTTCTGCTTCCTGGTGACCGCTCTCGGTGTGACAGCTGGCGCCCACCGCTTGTGGAGCCACAGGTCGTACAAGGCCAAGCTGCCTCTGAGGATATTCCTGGCTGCTGCTAACTCCATGGCTTTTCAGGTGGGAATTCCGGGTGGGCTCCGTCACAGGGACCCAGTGCAGGTGGCTCTGGGGAGGAAGGGAAGGATGGGTGGACACCCTCCACCCTGGTGCTGGGCCCTAAGCGCCTCCAGTCTGTCCCATGATTTTTGTCTGTCTCCTTGGAGCTTTAAATACAGTAATATGTTCACTGGGGGTTTTGTGCCCTGACGCTGCTGAACTTGAGGAGGTAAGGAGGCTTAGCCACCCAGAGTTCATGCGGCAAGTGTGCCAGAGCCCCCAGCATTGTCCCACTCTAACCAAGGGCTGGGCTCTGGGCTGAGCGTGCTATGTGTATGTCACACAGTCCTCATAGTCACACCAGGACCTCATCATCTTCTCCATTTTACAGATGAGGAAACTGAGGTTTAATGAGGTTAAAGAACTTTGCCCGCTTACAGGGCTAAGAAACAGCATGTGGAAGGTAGGCAGATGCAGGCCATCCTGACTCCAAGGGCATCCCTCTCCTGTAGTCTTGAGCTTACCCTTCAAGGTCTGCATGGACGGACTGTTTGATCTGGGGGATGATTGAGTTTTACTGTCATGGTTGCTGGCTGTGATGCATTTCTTGTCATCTGTGAAAATAAGAATACTTCAGTCCCAGGGTGGTTATGTAACCAATGAAAGATGCAGAGAGCTATAAAATTGTAAGAGAATGCACTGGGGTTAGGCCATGTCCTTCAAGACAACTCTAGTCCTAGACCACTTCCTGCCACCTTGGGCTTTCTGAGCTGCTGGAATTTTGGGTTAACTGATATGTTTTCCCAACTTTTTATGCGACCCAGGCAGTGTGCATGGGAACAACTTGTTTTTAAAGTTTCTACTTTCGCATGCCTGCAGATGATTCTAAACCCTGTTTATTTCTTATCTGTTGGGAAGGGATGGTGATTCCTAAAACTGCTTCAGGATTCAAGGAAATGGGGAAGCTAGGAGCCTCCCTGAGATCCTCAGACGGGCCTGGCATGTCCACTCCTGTGGTGGGCCTCATCCGTACAGGAGAGCCTGACCTGAGACTTCCTCTCAGTGCTTTGGGGCTTTGATTCATTTCTTTACTTAGGCTTCAAGCTGCAGTCTGAGCTTTCGTAAAGCCCCCAGGGCACAACACAGCAAATGAATTGGGGAAATGTAATGGGTGGTAGGTGTCTGCGCTGGTTATGATCAAGCTGTCAGGAGTCAGTACCAGGGTCCTGGGAAAAGCTACCACGCACAAGGGAGAAGTGGGCTGCTCGATGTTCATTTTATCTTGAGTTCAACCATCATCTCATTTCAGTGTTGTATTTTGTTGATCATAACTGAGAAACTGACTTAGCTCTGAGACGCCACTCAGGACTTAACTCAATATTTTCATTTATTTTGTTCGAGCCATTTATTATTTTTTGCCTCCAATTGCACACTCATGCAGTTATAAGACACCCCTATTACTGGAACTCTTGTTCCAAGATAAATAACTTGTAAGAGTCTAAAACTTGATTTTTCTTTTCTTTGTGAAAGTATTTGTTTATAACTCAGTGTTTGAAAACTTAAGTTTCCTTATCAAAACATCACATAACGATACCAGACTGTGATCTTAAATAGCGTGGGGGAGAAAGCACATGTAGAAGGAGGTACCCAGGTCATAGATGAATTCTTAGCTCTGTCGTTCTCTAGACTCAGCCTTTGTGCAAATCTTACGTTCTTTGTCTGCAAAGGGAACATAGTCATGTTCACCTCACAAAGTTATGGGGGGCATAAAATAAAAGTGCCAAGCTTGAGCCAGGGATTTAGCTCAGTGGTGCTGCAGCCTGCCTCACAAGTACAAATGCGAGGCCCTGAGTTTGATCCCCAGTACAAAAAAACAAAACAAAACAAAACAAAAAACAGTGCCAAGTTTATGGTGAAGCTTGATAAATTGTTCTTGTCTTTTATGAGGATCAGCATATTATCTCACTCCTTTCTATATTCTTGTACCTGTTATATGGAAAAAACTGAGGGATTATTTGTTAAATATGTGAAAAATGAACGATTTGCTTTAAAAGGTAGTTTTAGAAATTATCACATTTGATCTCTGCCTGTTTCTTAAAGGCCCACACTGATGGCAGATTTTTTTTTTTTTTTTTTTTTCTGCAAGAACACAGATGTCTGAGACACTTTCCTGGTGTGACTATGGAAGGCAGTTTGCATGCACTCCTTGACTTGTTTCCCCCACAGAATCTGGTTGTCCAGGCACATGTGGGAGTCAAGGAGAAAGAGCAGATAACGAGGTATCTCTGAGCAGCACCTTTTACCTTTGCTTGTGACAGCCGTGATTTATTGATTTGTCAAAGCCCATTGTGTCCATAAAACCCATTGTGTCCACAGCCACAGCGAGAGGTGCTGGCGGATGAAGGGTGCAGCCAGGGCTGGGGGACAACTCTCGTGCCTGCTGTGTGAGATGTGTATGTTTTCTGCTTTTATCTGGCAGGATTCACTATACATCCTAATAGAAACGTACTTTTCAGATAGAGAATAACCCAATTCCGTCTTTAATGGGAATCTAGGTCAGTGAAAGTAGGCAAAATGGGAGAAATGCATCTCGGGGGAATGAAAATGTGGCAGTCTGAGAGATCCTGAGAGGAGAGTATTGTTCACAGATGGATTTGTCCTGAACAACAGGCCCAACCTGCCCTTCATGTAGTGTCTCCCTGCCCAGTAGGACAGAAACTCCTTCCTGTCGTCCTCTCCTGCTCTGTGCCATGAATGAATTTTTGTTTTAAGGTAAACTTTTGTAAACAAAAAATTGTATTCTCTAAAGACACTTAAAGAGGTAATATTTTTTAAAATACTTAATAAAACAGAGGGTATTTTTGTAACTAAATGCCTAGTTTTCTCTGTTAATTTAGCTCCACACCTGCAGGGCAAGGAAGGTATGCTGCAGCTAAATTGTCAGTGTGAGTCTATTTGGAAGCATTTTCCAGCTCGCTGTTCATTTTGCCTTCTCTTCAGACAGAGGATCTTTAGAAAAGAGAATGAATCCCCTTTTCTGTGCATTGTCTCCTGTGCCCATCTCTTCCCCTGTGATCACAGACAGAACTGGGGGTCCTCAGAAGCCATGCATCTCATTCTTTTTCTAACAATAGAAGGAGCCAAAGCCTAAATGGCTCACTTTATTTTTATTTTCCCACATCATATCCAAAAACGTTTATGTGTTGCAATGCAGTTTATTGACAGACCATTTCTTTCTTTTTTTCCCCAAATTAAGAATATTGGTACATTTACAGCAAACAATGCAGTTACATTTATCATTGGGATCTTCTACCTTTGTATGATGTGTCTTGGTTCTTATTTTTTCCCCATACCCCTGCCCTCCCTTCACGCCCTTTACCCTTCCCTATTTACAAAGACTTTGTTTCCACTTTTCCTTTTTTTCACATTTTTTTCTTTTCCTTTATTTCCTTTCCTCTACTCTTCCCACTTCCTTTTAGCCATTTTCTTCCTATTATACCATTTCAATTATACCATTTGAACCTTATTTACACTTTTAGTTTTTCACACCAGAGAAACTATTTTGTATTTATATATGTGTGTCCTATTTATTTCACTTATGATTTTGCCTCAATATGCATCCATTTAGCTATAAATGTCTCTAGTTTCCCATTCTTTATGGCTGAATAGTATTCCATTTTATAGAAAACCCACATCTTCTTTATCCAGTCTCCAGTTGATGGGCATTTGGGTTGTTTCCAAATTTCAGCTATTACAAACTGTGCCGCTATAAACATGGGTGCATATATATCACTGTGGTATGATTCTTTTAATTCTTTTGGAAAGATACCCAGCAGAGGGATAGCTGGGTCAAATGGGACCTCTAATCCTAGTTCTTTGTGGTGTCTCCATATTGATTTCCCCAGTGCTTGCACCAGTCTGCACTCCCACCAACAATGGAGAAGGGTTCTTTTCACCCCGCAACCCCGCCAACATTTGTTATTGGTTGATTTCTTGATAACAGCCATTCTTTGTGGAGTGAGGTGGAATCTCAGTTTTGTTTTCATCTGCATCTCTCAAATGACCAGTAATGTTGAACATTTTTTCATATATTTATTTGCTGCTTTTACTTGTTTGTCTGAGAAATATCTGTTCATTTCAGATGCCCATTTTTGAATCTGGTCTTTGTATTTCAGGGGTCTGATTATTTTGAGTTCTTTGTGTATTCTAGATAGTAGTACTTTGTCTGAGGAACAGCTGGTAAAAATTTTTCCCACATTATAAGTTGTCCCTTCGCTCTGTTGGTGGTTTCTCTTGCAATGCAAAAACTTTTTAATGAGATGAGATTCCAGTAGTTCATTCTTTGTGCTAGTTCTTGTGCTGCTAAGGATTTGTTCATAAAGTCTTTTCCTATGCCAGTGTCTTTGAGTGTGCTACCTAATTTATTTTCCAGTAAGTTTAGTGTTTCCGTTTTGATATTTAGATCTTTAATCCCCTTGGATTTTAGTTTAGTGCATGGTTAAAGATACAGGTCTAGTTTTAATCTTTGGCAAGTTGAAATCCAGTTTTTCCAACACCATTTATTAAAGAGGCTATCTTTCCTCCAGTGAGGATGGTTGCATGCTTTGTCAAAAATGAGGTAGCTGAGTATATCTGGTGTTGTTTCTGCATCTTCTAATCTATTCCATTGATCCTTGGGTCTGTTTCTTTGTCAGTATATGCAGTTTTTATCACAGTGTCTTTGTAGTATAGTTTCAAGTTGGGAATTGTGATACCCCCTGTCACGTCTTTGTTGCCTAGAATGGCTTTTGCTATCCTAGGTGTCTTCTGGTTCCAAATGAATTTTTGTATTGTTTTCTCTAGTTCTGTGAAATATACTGTTGGGATTTCAATCAGGATTGCATTGAATAGCAGTTTTGGAAGTATGACCATTTTCACTTTGTTGATTCTTCCTACCCAGAAGCAAGGGATGTCTTTCCATTTTCTTATATCCTCTTCTATGTCTTTTTACAGAGTGCCATAGTTTTCAGGATAGAGATCTT